GTTCGCTAGAAAACAGGGGGTTCGCTAGAAAAGGGGGATTCGCCCGAACCATAAACCCCCCCCCCCCTGGCTACGGGCCTGTAGAGGCAAGAAGGTGAAGTGGGGAGGGCCTCGATGATTAGGTAAGGGGGAGCTACCTCACAAAATAAGCTCCCGACAAGGAGTCCATGTCCCCGATCTATGAAGCCTCTCCTCCCCCTGGTTTGGGGGGTGGAGAATTTAATTTGTCGGGGAATTCTATTTATTAAAAGATAATAAGATTTTATGTTAACTATGGGATTCTTTATTTAAAAAGTCTGGGTTACTAACCTCTGTCGGAGGTACCAGCCCCCTTGTCGGGGAAGAGCTGGCACACCACTGCAACCCTTACGATCGTAATAGTATACAACACCCTTGCACATACGGTAGCACTGCTCGCACTAAATAGTTGTTTGTTAATCCCTAAAATTTGACAGCTTAGTAAGGCGTGCTTGAATTATACTTTCTACACTCGAGATTTGATTTTTCCGCAACGACCTTGCTGGAAATTCCCAGCGGAGTCCAAGCGGGGGGTCCAGGGGTCCCCAGCTAGCGCTGCTGCTGAAATAGGGTGATTTTTAACTACTTGAGCATGATTTGTTTTGGTAAGCGACCTGGGTTGAGTATTTTGTGGAGGGGCATGCGCACCCCCTAGATACGCCACCGATGTGAGGAAATTCGAATGGAAAACAATTGTCTTGAAACGACTTGGGGTATGTGGGTCGTGTCAATCAAAGTTTTGCCAGTTTGTAAACTATTATTTACTTTATATTTTATAAATGTCATGACTTTCTGTTGATGGTTAATGAGCAAGTTTTACTGGAATAAACACTCCTTAGAGAAATGAGCAATTGCACAGGTATTAATGCAGTAGTTGGAGGAATGATGATGTGATAGGGAGTGGTTTTTGACCACTAAAAGTGAGGGCAACTAACTGGCGCCTTGCAATTTACTATGGCTGGCTGCCTCTTACCATGGAGGCATTAAAAACTTCTTAATTTTTTAGTGTAGTTGAGTAACGGTACACTCACCGGAGTACCCACATTACCATTGAATATATTGTGGTTTTGAGTATGAGTGAAGACTACTACAAGACTACCTCGGAAATACACTCATTAGTTACGTCCTTTTATTTATCTGGATGTATAGGGGGAGGGGGAAATTAGGCAAGTACAGCATATTGTAATATACTGTCTATCCATGGTCATCACAAGGAATAATCACTAATTAAAAACAGAAAATAAAACTAAAAAAACATGTACTGTAGTACTTTTTAAAGTACTAAATGTTTTTGAGTTTTATTTCAGACTCCATTATCCATGGCGATGCTCTCAATGCATCTTTATCAAAGTCCTATGATTGGGTAACTCTTGTCCAATCAGCAACTGATATTCACGTGAATTGTGAATGTTCATGCTTCCTTCACGCGCTTCAACTCGCAGGCCAATGAAAATGAATAAATTCGTACCATGTGATGTAAACACGATGTAGCCCGTTTTCTCTGTAATGACAAAACATTGTACGTTCATGACTGAGTATCTGATTCATAATGGAAAATATTTTTATTTTGTTGAACCAACCGTGATTGAAGTTGAATATTTTGCATTGGAAGACATTTACTACTAGTTCATCATTTCATAATACACGGAAATAACCAAGTTAAGCTTTTAGTAGGAGGGATAACTCCGATTGATCACAATGTTTAACAACATGCTTTCACCCCATACAACTCATCTCATAGCGGGAGGGTAAGTACTTCTGTACCATCGATGTTTAACGTTGGTAAATTTGGAAACCTTCTTCAAACTAATAACACACAGACATCGAGAATTCTAAATTAGGACTAGCCTATGTCTAGTATATTGTAGCTCGTCTAAACTGAAGTATGGTGCCACTTTCTAAAGTACAAACAAGGCTACGGCCAGCCTTGCCCTTTTTAACAATACGTTGACCTGGATAGAAAAGAAGGCGCGTCTGACCATGCTCGTGGGACTGGCTAAGTAAGGCTTCAACTTACAAGGTTTACAATGGGTTTGAAGCTTACACTACGCTAGGTACTGTAGTATTTATTTAGAGGCCTTGGCCACATACAACAAGAAAGATGAGAAAAGTGATTGGTAATCAAATTCTACTGTTCAGTTAAGAAGAAACGGTACTTGATTGAAATTGAAAGGATTGCCAAGGCTAGCTAGGCTAGGCCTAGTCCCTTCTCTTACTCTACTACAAACAAGTACTTCTACAGCAGTACTATTAAATTCTAGGCTAATCATAGATGGCTAAATAATGCAGTTACAATAGATATGTTTCATTTAGCCTAACTAAGCCTGTAGAGTCCTATGCAATGTTACTGAAGTTACAAATATGAAAGAAATAGTAAAAGCAGATTTTTCTTTAACTATAATAATACATACATGGCAAGTTATAATACAGTAGTAGGCCTATATACACAAGATCAACAAATAAGCTCACCACCACACACAGGCATCAGTAGAAAGGAGGGGTGTCAATTTTTTGTAACCCAGATTATTTGTAACTCTGCTGCAGACATTTTCTGATTTGCAATGTCTTGGTTATAAAATTTCCACAGCCAAGTTAAAAAATGTCAGAGTAACAAGAATTCAAAAAGCACAGAAATGTTAACTTGCCATATTTCCTCAGCGCCTTTCATAATTTTGAATTGGCGATATATGATTTATTATTGTTTGCTATAGAAAGAAATACAAAATTTGAATAAAGAAAATAAGAACAGCCACTTAGCAAATTAAAAATAATGTTTTTTCATGATTCTAAGGTTTTTTTTGTTGGTTATAACTGCATAATTTTTCCACTTTAGTCCTGGCATATATTTAGCTTCATTACAAAGCAATTTAATGAGAGTGATAAACAAAGTATAGCTAGAGAATTTCATAGTAATAAGTGTTTGTACCACGGTACTAGTATTTGCTTAAACTGGTATCCGCCCAAATTGGCTTATTCTTTTTAAACTTCAATTTCGTTTTCACTGCAATTTTGCTTTTCCTATGGTGGATAAGTAATCCCTGACTAGAAAAGGATGTCCAGAAGTTAGAGTTCAATAATCTTTATTTTATCATTTTCAGGTGTGGTGGGACACTTGGTGCTATCATCACTTGTCCTCTTGAGGTCGTAAAGACGAGGCTTCAGTCATCTCAAGAAGTGCGAGTTGTCCAAGTGGCATCAACAGATGGCATGACACATAAACAAATCACGAGAACAAATGTCGGTCTGATATCTGCTTTAAGGTAGGTAGTTTATGGTAAACAATCAAAATTCTATTTTCTTCCCTATTTATTGTGCGAACATGAATATGAATACTGTATGTGAACATGTGACCACTATATGATTTCCACGGCAGTGTCAGTAATTCACCTGGTAAGCGCATGCTTATCATTTAATGACTGCATGTACACACTGAGCATGCCCCATTATTCTATTTATTATATCAGTAAACATATGCACCTGACCTATTTTTCTTGCCAAGTACAATATTTATTTATTTAGCTTGGTAAGATAATCACTTTGCAAGGGCCTTAGGTTCAAGTTCATAAAACAGTGATTATTATTATTTATTTTCACAATCAAATAAAACTTGTTTCCAATAGCAAGATCTGTTTTAGATCTTGTTTATATTTATTTATATTCTTAATTTTCTACTTTTATTCTATTAGGAATATTGTTAAAACTGAAGGCGTGTCTGCATTATTCCGGGGACTCGGCCCAAACTTGGTTGGGGTAGCACCGTCAAGGTAAGCGTTACTAAGTATAAAATAATACAATTTGTAAAGTACTTTAGAAAATTTGGCTATAGGAGTTGAATCCCAATTTAAAATATATTTTACTTTGTAGACTGTGAAGGTAATTTAATAAAAGACTGCTTAACAGTGGCATTCATGTGAAAAAATTCATTAAAAAATAAAAAATTAACAAAAATATTATGTGAGCTCAGCTACATAACAAGTCTTTTAATAGGCTATTTATTCATACAACCCCAAGGTTTTTGATTAAAATACTTCCCCTTCTGTTCTTATGCATACTGTATTGTTAGAGCACTGTCCCTGCTTCATTTGCTGTATCCACTTCAATTGAGGACTGGGCCCATTCATGCATTAAATTTTGTTCGTTCATTCATATTCTTTTTATTTAATTTTTAAAATTAATTTGTTTTATTTTTTTTTTAATTTTATTTTTTTTTAGGTTTATAGAGTGCTATAGTAAAGTGTGCTCACAGAATCAATTTATTTCAACAATGTATTGAGGGTGGTCCATCCAGCCGGACCTGAATGTTCCTAGTAATGCAAAACTAATGGAATTAAAGCTTGTTTGTAAAGGCCACTTGGTGAACCTTTTCAAATAATTAAAAATTATGTTCCAATGGAAATTGAATACAGTTATATCTTCCTTTGTGTTTGCCTATTCTTTTACAATGTAAATATTTGGATACTAAAAGCCAGAAAGTAGGTCCCTGCAAATCATTCAACACATCATGTTTACATGACCCAGTGCCTAGCAGCCTTTGCCCTTGCACAGGGATAACAATGATTAACCTTGTCTTAGTGAACAATTGTTGTTCAAAGCATGGCCAAACACTTTACCTCAAACAATTGTAACTAAGAATTTTCTGGTGTTGAAATGTCCGGGTTAAGAAATATCTGCGGCAGAGTTTAAAAAGTCTGTGTTACGAAATTTCTGCCACCCATATGAAATTCTTAAATTATACCAAATTGTTAATAGTAGTATAAAGTGGATTTACAGTAATCTAACTACCATTTGTGTTGAGTCTTATCTCTTATCTTTTGATATTCATTAATCTTCATGCAATTGTACCGGATGTGGTCAAATATAATAAATACAGTACATAGTTTAAAGTACAATCATAAATAAAGGTAATTTAGGTGGTATAATTAATTCTAATGCCTTGAAAGTGGCAACATCCTGAACACTCATTCTTGATTGGCCATAATGTTTTTGGAACCGCATTTCAAACTTTCATTTTAATTGCTAAAACAATGTTCTGCACACCATAACTATTTTAATGCTTCTGTTTATATGTATTGAAAGACCTAATTTTTAATCAGTGGTTAAAAATTTAAACAGGTGTATAGATATGCAGTAAAACATCCTTTTTACGAACATCAATTTTACGAATGGTCTTTGCCCCTGATGACATCATCAGCGACCAATTATTACTGTAAAAAAGTCATTGAGCGCACATGTTTACGATGACAGACGAGAGTGTTGGGGTCAGCAACGTAATTGACATCGTGAATGCGAGATATGATCGCAAAATGCATGTAAACAACACAATTCGGCGATCTAACAACTAGAAAGAACACGATAGAAAGAGCCATAAAACATACAGATGTTTGAATAAGAGTTAAAATAATATTTTGTTAAGTGGAAGAATAGCAGGGATTAAAATAATTTGGTTTTTACAAAGGTAAATTCAGCTAGGCTCTAGCGCGGTAGACCACGCTGCTGCACTGTCGATGCGTGCTAGGCCTGGCCGCCGTCAGCCTACTGGTGCTCAATGGTGGGGATAGCTAGGCCTATTATTTGGAAACTGACAACGGATCTACTGTAGTTGACGAATTTTTCAATTTACAAACACCCCTTGGTGCCAAGGGGTATGTAAAATGGACGTTTTACTATACAGGTTGATAGGTTTATAAAGGTTCTTTTTTATCACATACAAATGAATACATTTTCTTTTTCAGAGCGATCTACTTTTTTGCATACAGCGAGACTAAGGCGTTCATGAACACCAGGTGTCAGCCGGAGAGTCCTGTCGTTCACCTCAGTTCAGCTGCATTTGCAGGTATGTTGTCAAAATGTTATTGTGCAATAGTTCTGTGAATTGCATGTGTTGTAATACATAAATCAATTGATTGCTAAATATACTGTAGGTTTGTTGCTTACTGAGAAAAATCTTACCAGGCACCTTACCAAATTGTATCATATCATTATTCATAAATAATCATAATATAAAACTTATTATTAAACAAATTATTGTGTTTTGGATTGTTTGTTTATTAAATAGTATTGATTAATCTTTCTAATTTAATTTCATTTGTTTCAAATTGTGCTAAATTAGTGTAATTTGAAAAACAAAGAGTTTGGCTTTCAGTGATTTTTTTTTTAGATGACTACAAAATCTATTTTGGAGTTAAGTTGAGGTCAGTTAAAATATTGGTTGGTCCATTCAGTTGACATCCTGTTTAAGATGCGATTTTCACTATACCTTTACATCCACCATCCTGCCAAATTTATTTATAACCTAGAAGGGTTTTGTCAGAGGAAACTGACTTCCTGCAAAGTATAGAAACTGATATCCAAGCATCCATAATGAAAATCAACATTTGTGTAGTTGAATCAATATTTTTATGAAATCCAGTAGTAAAAATAAAATATAAAAAGGCACCATAAATAGAATAACAAATGAAAATATAATAAGTATTCAGGGTTTTTTTTTTTTTTTTTTTTTAAATTATTTTTTTCAGGTTTTACTGCCAGTACTCTCACTAACCCAATATGGTTTGTCAAAACAAGACTTCAGCTTGATAGATCGTAAGTTGATACATTTTGCAATAGACATATTTTGTTTGTTTACTTTCGCTAAAGTACACCTCATTACCATAGAATGGTATGTTCCATTGATGTGTCTCCATGAATGCGTTTCATTGCCCTGCCTACTGTGCTTGTGTTATTCTCCTAATTGTCGTGTATGCAAATTTCATCTCCCCTACTGATCATGTATTAACCACTATTGTATCTATACCACCCCCAGCATTGGCCTACTACTGGGTCTGTATATTAGCCAACCTAGAAGAGAGTCTGTAAATTACCTTGGTTGAACTGGGCATGTAATGGCCCTCTGCTTTCCCTGTACAAGTCCATAATTGGCATAATGTAACTATAGAATTCCCTTTATGTGCCTCTAATAGGCATCATGTCAGACTTCTCTTGGGTAATCTTACTGTTCCAGATTAGATGGGTAATGGTTTTAATTATTATCAAATCCAATCAATAAATAGCCACCTTATCTAGAGCTGCTTAGCATTCAGATTTATAATTCAAGGCTAGTTACAAATGACAAAACATTATTCTACAAGTTTTGGAATGTTATTCTTCTTGTCTTCACCCTCTTTATGTAAGTTGCACAATATCTGACGTTATAAAACACCAAAAAAAAAATTACGTAAAATTCTACATTAACCAATTGAAAGAACATGATACATATGATAATTGTTTATCATGTAACCCAAACGAGATTAAGATATTTGTTTCCTGTTCATTGTATTACCTACTGGGGTATTTGTTATTCTTTATTCACTCAATTTTTTGTGCATTGTGTGAAGCCATTGCACTAGAAAAGATCCAAATATAGTTTTTAATGGTGAGGTCTCATTGTACTTACCAAACAATCAATGAACTCGTTCTCACTTGACCTATGGAAGGTCTGCAAAATTTTAAAAAACTAAAAGAAAACTAGGTCATACAACTGAAGACCAAATACCTGATCAAAAAAAAGAGTAAAAGAATTTTGATCAAATACCTGATGTTGCATTTTTATCTAATTATAGAACAAAAGAAGGAAAAGTTTCCACTGGTTCGATCATCAAAAGCGTATACCAAAAAGAAGGAGTGCGTGGCTTTTATCGTGGCGTGACCGCTTCCTATGCAGGCATCTCGGAAACTGCCATCCATTTTATGATATACGAACAGATTAAGCTCTGGCTGCGAGATGGAAAGACAGATTATGACAACAAAACCTTAAAAGACTTCTTGAGTTTTATGGGTGCGGCGGCCATCTCAAAGTCAAGTGCATCAGTCATTGCATATCCACATGGTAAGTTTTTTTGGTGGTTTAAAACTAGTGATTTTCTTCTTATCGAGTTCATGTAGAATGCTAAATTTTGCCCAGCCATAGCTGGACACTCTTCCTTCCCATGAGGTTGTATCCGCTGCTGTTACCTTTAGGCATGATGTTTTATGTTCTTATAGTGGATGTAGGTGGTGGTGGTGGTAGAATCTGTTAAAACTAGGTCCAAGAAGACGGGAGTGCTTTTCTATCATGAGACTAACAACAATGGACTGCCTATGAACCTTATGATCTTAATGCAAACATTCATAAATTCCTAACACTGATCAATTCTTCTATTGCAGAAGTTGCAAGGACAAGGTTAAGAGAAGGTGGTCATAAATACCGTGGATTTTTCCAAACATTAAGAACAGTTGCGCAAGAAGAGGGTGCCAGAGCACTCTATGCTGGACTTGGTACACACCTTGTGCGACAAATTCCAAACACTGCTATTCTTATGGTGACATATGAATCAATTGTCTACCTGCTCAACTCGTGAGTCACATACTATTCATCTGATTCGCAGTTAGCGTTTGCCGCTGCTTAATGGAGATGATTATGTCCAGGAAAAATTGGTGCAATTGTTGAGATTTTTAAAAGAAAGACATGCTAATAATTAATTGCAAGTTTTGAATTTAGAGAGACTATATGATGTCATGATGGCATCCGGGATGTTGTTGTGGGTCATATTCTTGGGTTCAAATTTGACATGACCAATCTGTGAACAGCTGACTGCTATATTGCTAGACATGATGTGATTTATGTATTTACAGTTAATGACTCGCAACTATAAATATAGGCTTGTACTGTAGAAAACATCATGAACTGAAAGAAGAGTCGTAGCCTTGGACTATGTGAAGCAAAGGTCATTGCGACTGTTGACCTCGTTAAGTCAGTCTTTTGCACACGTGACCCCTGAATGAACCACTTTGAGATGGATGATAACAAATGTTGGTGCTATAAAGAAAGAGGCCAATTACAGATGTATTTATGGGGAAAATATGAGACAGTTGCAGATAGATACACTATGGAAGTTGTTTTTTTTTTTTTTTTATCGAGTGTACAATTTGAAGATGTTCGTGTGCTTGTTCTCAGATTTACAAAATGTCTAATGTTATCAAACACTGAATTATTTCAGGTTCTGTGTTGTGTGTTCCCATTCCTAATCTGTAGTCATCAAGATATACAGTCAGTAACAAATGGATCACTAATAACCATGTTTAAAATTTCACCATATGTTGAATGTACTTTTTGAAATTTGTACTTCAGTATTTAGGGTCAGATTTATCAAACTTGCTTAGCAAAAAAAAAACAAAAACCTAGCTTTAATATTTGCTCAAGTCAGATTTGTCAATAATATCACTTCTGTTTTAAATGTTTATTTCAGTAAACATTACAAAATTTTGTTCTTGCTATTACAAGAAATTACGTAGGTATGATTACGCTGCCCTCCCATGCATTTTTCAAAAATTGTTGACCTATCAAAGCTGCATTATGCCAGTGTCGATACTTACTTTTTCACTATTGTTTTCTAAGCTGAGATTGATAAATCCTTGCCCTGGACATGGACATTAGGCATGTGACCAATAAATATTTCATATATTTGAGCAACTTACATTACTGCAAGCTGACATTTTAATTGCTTAAGCGGAGAGGCACCGCTTTTACTGTGTGCATTTTTAAAACTTTTCTGGAAATCTTACTGTTTGCAAGTTCCTGAATTTTCAAAATCTCAGCTTAGCGTTACCATTGGACTTAACTTGAGTATCTATGTAACAGATCTGTGTCGGGAAAGCCAATAATTTAATACTTCAATAGTATTGTATAACATCAATTTATAGCCATTTGCATTATTAATGACAATATATAGTTTAATGCAATTTAGCAGAGGGTGGGGGTAGTAATTTGGGAAGGGTTGTATGGTGGGAGGAATAGGAAGTTGGGTTGAGGAAGGGTTGTAGTGTTGGTATAATATAATAGGGGTATTTGGTATGTACAGTATTGTATACTACAGTTAGTAATTTACCTCTGTTGTTCAGTTATTTGGATTTTCTTGATTAGACCACAGATCCTATACATCATCTGTATATATAGGGTCTGTGATTAGACAGACACTGTAGCTGTTTGAAGTTTGCAAGCATCTATACCAAATATTCTATTACACAAAACAATTAACAGTACAACAGAAATAATAAGTTTGATCAGATCAAGTTTTACCAACATTTGCCAAAGCAAAACCTTTACTGTAGATGATAGCCTTCTTGTTTTAAATTTCAATATTAATATAGTTTTTATGGATTTAATTTTCTCCCAGATTAAGGAAGTCATTTTTAATTTCACCTTGTGTTATTGTATTACTTCTTAACATTAACTGTTGAAAATATTGTTCATAATATATTTGCTTTAACATCAATATAATTGGCATGTTGTAAGGTATACAAAGTTTTGATTATAGTCAGGTGTTTTGTATAAGTAATCTGCTATTATTATTTTGTTATTTTGATTAATTTCGTAACTGGGTTATATTAAGAAGTTGTTTACACAAAATTATATGTATATATGAGTTTATTATGATTCATATATATGAAATTATTTTATTGATTTATACAAAATTTTACTCCAATGTCATTATTATTTCTTTTATGAGCATTCATATCAAAAACAAAAATAGTTTTTTTAGAACCCATGACATGCTCTCTTATTACCTCCGCTGAGGAAGTTACGTATTCACGTATGCAAAATCTTAGTAATAGATCATCATAAAATTTATTGAAATGGTGCATAATAATCTAAGAAAGAGATGATTAAATTTTGTTAATGGAAGGGTAAGGACACTATTAATATTATATTAATACAAAGGCGAGTTGATTGGCCGAGCGGTTAAGTCAGGGGCACCGTGACCTTTAGCTCTAATATCGGCGTTGGTTCGAACGGCTCACTCGCCAATGGTTCCGGTGGTGGAACAAGTCTTCTCGGATAAGGACTTTAAA